AGGATCCTGGTGAGGCTCAGAGGAGCTGCTGTGTGTAAAGCCCTTCCCAGTCTAGAGCAAGTGCCCCATGGGCGGTATCACTGAGCAGTGCCCAGGGGATGGATACAGAGCTCTGAACGCTGCCCTAGGGCCTTTTGCTGCCACCACATGGGCTCTTTCTGTTCCCCCAACACACCACCTCTCTCCCACCTCACAGAACACACGCTGCACACTCCCCATCTACCCTGTCTTCCTCTTCCCGCTGCCTTGAACTTTTGTGTTTCTATTTATATAAGCTAGGCGGTGCTGGACAAGTCAGGTAACCTCCCTGGGCCCTGTTTTCCTTCTTTGTAAGATGAACACAGGAAAAATCTGCCTCAAAGCATTGCCATGGCCTCTGGGTCACCCAGCTTGTCTCACCCAGGGTGGCAGAGTGGCAGACTCCTGACCAAGGCTGCCGTCCTGCTGCACCCCTGCCTGGTCACCATCTCCAAATGTTTGCCAAGCACCAACTCGAAGTCAGCCTGCGAGCCTGTTCTCTTACCTGCTCCAGTTGGCTCCCACCCCTGCTTCCTGAGTCCCCTCACCAATAGCCTTCTCAGGGATTCTACTACAGACTCCCAAGTGTCCCCACCTCCAGGCCCACCTCCTCAAGTCCACTGAGCACCCCGTTTTCTCAAAATGTAAGTCTGACTGAGGCCTCCCTACTCAAAACCCCTCAACAAGTCCCAGCTTCCTCAGATACGCTCCCAAGTTCTCAGCCTCGAGCTTCATGACTCACCCCTACACCTCTCCTCTCTGCCTCTCAGCCCACAGATCTTGACTACTTGTCTCTCTTCTTGGAAGGCTTTTCTCCACTGTTTACCTAGAGAATGCTAACTCACTTTCAGGACTCGGCTCAGGAGGCACTTCCACCAGGAAGCCTTCCCTGACTTTCTTCCTCCCGAAGGCCCTAAAGAATAGTATGTATGCCCTGTTGCATCTTGATTGGGTTCAAATCCCTCACTAGTCTGTACACTTCTGGAAAAGTCTGAGAAGAACTGGTGTTAGCTCTTCTTTAAGTGTTTGGTAGAATTCACCAGTGAAGCCTTTTTTTGTGGAGATGTTTCTAATTAAATTACTGATTCAATCTCTTTAATTATAAGTCTATTCAGATTTTCTATTTCTTCCTGATTTAGTCTTTGTAGGTTTTATGTTTTCAGAAATGTGTCCACTTCACCTTGGTTGTCCAGTTTGTTGGTGCACAATTATTCATGGACTCTC